CAATCCCTCAGACACTGACATGCCTGGAATATAAACAACCCAAGGGCACATGTATATTCAAGCTTCACACACAGTACAATTGTTCATAGGATTTCAAATTATGAAGCTAGAAGATTAGCAATGGGCATTACAAAAATGTAGCTACAGTCAGAGCCTGTGATCTGTATGTTCTCTTCATGGTCAACTAAACATAGGACATTCTACATGTACAGGCATATAACTTTCTGTATGACTTCAAAATGAAACATCTATAAGAAAACATCCATAAGATGAACACAATGATCACACTTTGGTTCCATAGGTAGCTATTGGAACACTGGTTGTATCTTCTAGAAATGTATTTGAAAACAAATCAGAACCTGATGCATAAAAGAAAATATGTTAATCCTTACAATTTAAGCTAACAACTTTTATTTACTTTGGCCATTTGAATTAATAATTTTAGCCTTTATTAAGTTTACTTACAAAATAGTAGTCAACACAGTCAAGTTAAAATATGACATGCCGATAATATGGCATGTCTTCATTTTCAGATGTTACATTGGGAATATTTGGAACAATTCCTTGGCCAGACAGCTCTATGGATTATAATATGGGCAGACCTGTGTTACTAGATACAGTTTCCAGTTTCCTTGCCCAATGAAGCTCTAAGTCCCCTGTGTGATCTATATTGGTATTCACTAGCTTTCCTTTCACTTCCTGAAGTACCAGTAGTCACAGCTGGAACTAATTTACTCCCACTTGTGAAGCTGCTGGATAAGGAAAGCAAAGAACTGAAATTAAAGGCATCAACCTTCAAATTCATTATGGGCAGACATAATGCCATTAATCATTCCTTTTCCATACTGATCTGACTCACTTTGATCTGAAGCCAAAAAGTACAGAATCACTTAGATTAGTTAGAACCATACATGTACAACTATGTACAACAATAATGGACTTTACAAGTATTCGTTGACATAGAACAATCATAACTTTATTGACAGTAGAAAGTTTTTAGAGACCAGTTTGATTGAAGTCTAAATGGAAATAACTTCCTGGAAACCATGTCCAACAGACATATGTCGAGCTTACAACTGTCAGAACCTTATCTGGAAGACTTTGTAATACATGCATCACCTCAGGCATCAACCATGTACATGTATGGCTTATAACCTATTCCAAGAAATCAGTCTGGCATTACATGTGCATGCAATAGAAATTATGAGATGACTGCAATGGTCAAATGGATCATGGGAGAAATTCAAACCATGTCTGCCACTGCGCTTGTTACTGCTGACAAGCATCCACCATCTATTGCAAACTGCACTTTTCATATTTTCCATATAGATGAGCACGAATAGCCAGTGGCCTTGGGAAATCAAACTTTCTATGGGTGTGATCGATAAAAAGGCACATCAAATACTGAAGGCCATTGTGTGAATGTGATGCTTCAAATTACACATTCTTAATGAGACCTAAGGGGCACCATTGCACAACCAGATTGGCTGCAAATCCACATATTGGTGCACGAGTAACAAATACATTTTGTCTTGAAGAAGCACACTTCTAAGATTGTTGCATTGTTGCCTACAAAGCGAGCATTAATCTAATGATTGCTGGTGCACGTACTTGCTGCTTGATACGTCAAGACTTGCTCAGGTATCATTTGCCATATCTTCAGACAGTGTGGCTTACATTGCAATTGCAATTGCATGGCTGCATAATTTTATGTATCTGCTATTTTTGTATTTTTCCGTATTCTTTTCTTACATACATTGATTGAGATCCAAAGGAAAGGTCCTGCCAAGTAATACTGGTATGACCTTTCCCCAATTAAAGATGAAAGCCCAGTCATAATGATCATCAATGATACATGATTCAAATGACCACATCCAACAATATATGTGTAGAGATGATAACTAAGGTACATGTAACAATCTTTGTACATGTATATTCTTATTCATTCATTCATTCATTCATTCATTCTTTACTTCAGGCAAAAAAAAACATAAAACACAGTACATCATTAAAATAATACAAAAATCTAGAGACATACAAACAATACAAAAAAAATTAAAAAAGAAAGAACAGTGATTTTCTTGTACAAATGTAGGCTACAGTACAAACATTTTACCATTATTTGATGCATAATATGCTCAATTGACAAACAGTTTATAGATGTATCTATTATAGAACAACAACAATTTAAGTCCTGTCTAAGGTATAGTTTGAAAAAAAAAGTGCATGAGATAACGTGAAACTCTTTTGGTCCATTTTCTAATCCCACCAGTTCCCACAAGACAAGAATGGCCAGGATGGTCAGGTAACCACAGGGATTTATGACCTTTTGAGTTATTGTTACAGACAACAGGGGCACCTGGAGATGCTTCCCTGGCAGATATAAATTATAAAAGCATGGGTAAGTTGGAGGGGTTTGACAGGACTGGGTCAGTCTGCAAGTAAACACACCTGTGGATTAACCTGACTTTGACAGATAATGATAACATCAAAATGTCCTACAGTGCTTGCCAGCTGGCAGAGCCTTGCTAAAGCTGGATCCACCTTTGAACAAACACTGTTGCTGTTTTTCTATTTATGCAGGTAAATACTATCTAAATTAATAAAAAAAAATGAGTAGGAGATAAGACTTCATTAATCATTCAGCATGTACTGTTCATTCACAAGTTTAACTTGAGTTGTCCAATGCCACTGATCTTGTGCCCTTGGGAAAGGCACTTAACACGAATTTCCTCACTTCACTCAGGTGAAAATGAGTATGTCTGTTGTCCGTTCATGCGTTTGTCTGCGTTGGTGGCGGCATGAAAATAAGTTGAAAAACTTGTGTTGTGCCGTTGTCATGTCTAGTAATAAATAGTTGAATAGTTATCCAAATATTCTTGAGCTACATGCTAGTACATCAATGCTATACAAAATATCACAGTTAAGTTTTTCTATTGTACATGTATAGCTTCTTTACTACAACTTGTAACAATAGGGTATGTAAGAAGATGTTAAAAAGGAATAAAAATGTTTTCACGCTTATTTGACCTGAAGGTAACATTGGAGACCAACATAACAGTATGTAAATTATTCAAACTAGCATAATTAATAAGGAAATGCTCTAATAACTTCCTGAAGAGGGACATAACTTTGATATTTGCAACATGGCAAATGACAACCTGAGATCATGAGCCAATACAAAATATTGACCTCAAACTGTTGATCATTGAGTCAGTGATAGTGGACAACACCTGGAGTATTATTCAACAGTACCTATGCTACAGTTATATCCAGACATGTGTCTCACCATGAAATCAAATCAGCAGCATCCCTGACTGACAATTCCATACCATAATTCATTCTTGTGGGATGCATATAAGCAGTGTTGACCTTCTGCAATACATGGTATATTCAGCATATGGCCCCAGCATTATGAATCAATATTAGCCCTTTCCTTAAAGGCTGCTACTCAAGTACTGGGGTAAAGGACATTTCACTCCCAGGGGAACTTCACATGGCTTTATGTGATCAAATTTGAAAATACTATGCATCTCTGCAAAGAAGATGATTGTGTGTCAGGGCTCAAAATACTGGGTGATAATGATATGCAGTTTTGTGCACCCAAGGTTAGAACTTCGAACTGTGCAACTAATATTGTACTGTCACGCTATAATTTTGACCCCCTACGTTAAATTTTCCCCCCTACGATATAATTTTGACCCCCTACGCTAAATTCCCCCCCCCCCATGCTAATTTTTAATACAGCATAGGGGCATTGTGACTGTATTTCTTTGTTCAAGAATGCCAGATCAAATGTGAAAAATCAAGGATACATTGTTTTAATGTAACGTTACATACCTTAGAAATAACATTTTTTCCCTTTGGGTATCCCTCAAATGACCTCTTTTTAAGCTCCCTCATCATGCGGCCAGTGCCACTAAGCTAAAATCAAATCCTAGCTAGAACCCTGCTGTTGGTATAGAACTTAGTAGGGTTATGTACATAAATGTACTGTTGTTCCCTACACAACTCTACTGCACATTCTTGACATACTTTGAGCTCAAAACTTTGTTGGTAGTGACTACTGTGCATGCCACATCAAGTGCCTCGCACTGACTTTGGGTAGCCTCCTTCGCAGACTTGTGATGTGGCGGCGTTAATTTTTTTTCAGGGAGCGATGGGAGTTATGCCACGGAGGGACAGTTTTTCAGCGCGGAAAACGTCTCTCCCCGGCAAAGTCCCTTGGCAGCAAAAAATCTTCCCTCCGAGGCATATTATAAACTTGCGCCGTTCCCCAAAAAATTAAGGCCGCCACATCAGAAGTCTGCGAACGAGGCTAGACTTTGGGGCTCTTTCTGTTCTTCATTTTGCTGTCGTTCTACTTCATTTTATGTTGTGCACACACATTTTTGGTGAACCAAAATTTTTTAGTTAGGGGATTCAACAAAATGAATTACCATCCCTGTGTGTACCGCCCTCCCCCTTTGTTCTGTCAATATGGAAAAATACAGTTTGTTAGAAAAATGTTGAAGAGAGGTTGAAGAATACTAGGTGTCACAACTGTAGCATGATCATTATTGATGGTACCGTGACAAACTGCTATGTACCCCGCCCATGACAGGACAAAGGGGTTAATCTTGAGCACACGTGTACTTGTTTTTCCAGGTGTTGCCTAGCACTGCAGTAAACGTGCCTTTTGACCCCGCCGGTAGCGGAAGCGACCTTCTGAATACTAGTACTTGGTAACGGTGTACAGGAATGAAAACAAGCAAGCGTTAACTATGTGCAATATTATCCAATTCCACGCAGAATAATTAAATTCAATACAAGGAATGGAACTGCGATTTCTGAGGGAAATTTTCTGGCGTAACTCTGATCTATATGAGGAGAAAAATAAATAATTCGTTACATAATGGTCAGTTCTCATACAACACCCTCCCGATGCCGATCGTGTGTGTTGGAAAGGTATAGGCTGTATAGGAATCAAATCGTTTCGTATTCCTTAAAGTGGTACATACCTTATGATATCATCGCTGTGTCCGAGGAAGAATCTCTGTGAGTGTTCCCGTGTGTTGAAGACGACGCCCACCCCAGCTACAAAATACACGACCTCTTTGGTCGCAGTATAGTACAGGTTATTTCGGCACTGATGGCCCCGATAACCGTAAACCCATTCGAGTCTCAGCTGGGATCCTGGAGCTGTCTTATCCGACATTTTCTGTGTGAATCCTGACGCGTATATCCCCGGAAACCGTTCTTGAGCACGACATTCATCTGTCCGACTATCACCTAAGCGCCATTTTGATCCTCAATTTTGCGCTACCGCCAAGAATCTCAGTCACGTGATAGAGATGCCAACCAATGGCTGTTGCCGTCTCTGCAGGTATGAATGCAAGACTGTTGCCTCACCTGAGGACACCTTCCACATAGGAAAACCGGGCGATATATTGGAATTCAAGATCATATATAATAGAAAATTTCCCTTTTTCTACAATTGTTTCGTATAGTGTACATTCACTCACGTGACCGACATTGTATCCAATCGGCATCTGTTGTATCCTTGCTTTCCCGGGCTTCAGAGTAGCCACGCCTACCAGCGAAGCAACAGTGAAATTAAAATTCATAAAAATCTCTCTCTGAAAGATGACTGTACTGCCTTATCTTAAGCTTGTAGCTGATATGAAGAAGTCACAGTTTGCCGTGGGCCACAGTGGTTGTTTAAAGGGCGTCCACCAGAATCTCGTTCCCACGTGTGACTCAGCCCGGTGACTGGTTGGTCCTGCCAGGGTTGCCCAACCACCGTGAATCCCAGGACATTCCTCTTCAAACGAGGGCTGTGTTGCCGCCCAATAGCTCCGTCGTCATCGTGATGTGCAGCACATCCATTTAAGCCATGTTACGACCGGCATCCCTTTGATGCTGCCGCAGCCGATACGCTGGAATATTTTGGCCACGTTTTTTTCGCCTTTCCTCCTCTGCGTTTGTCTCTCGCAGAAATGGTGCTGACTGCATTCAAAAGGGCGTCCGTTAGCGGTGATGTCATCACTCCAGCCGCGCGCGCGCTTCCCAGGGAGAAAAAAATCAATAACTATTCATGGCGAACTGACGGCTAGAGAAAACCAATATCACACCAGGTAATTGCGTCTCCCCGTGCTCCAATCACCCCCTTTTCCTCCAAAATATCATACAAGTATGGATCACTTTTAATATCCTTTAAGAGAAATGTGCTTCGGGTTGCGCCTTTTTCTCTGTCCCGTATTACAATGGATCGTTGTAAATTCCATGGAGCCACCGCCCACAACAGAATGCCGTTGGCCTATGCGATCGCACTCCTCACTGTGCTGCATTGCCGGGAGCTATATCACTTTATTATGGGTCTTGCGCAAAGTTATATGGAGAGAGACCATAACGCATCCTGGCCTTGGAACGAAATTACCCTTAATTGCATTTCTGTGCGATTTTGAACCGTCTGGACCCTTGATGGCGCGGAAAAATGATGTTTCACCCGGGAGAAATATCACTTATACGTGCTGCAAACCAGACTGACTTAATAGTTTCCCCTGCCGACTGACACAGCATGTCATTTGATGATATTTTGAACCACTTTCCGTTGGACGCTCGTGTTACCGAATGTGGCGTACAACTCACATTGGAAGCTAATGTTTCTACACTTTTGTCGTCGATGGACAACTGTAAATGACATGTTTATTGGAACATGTGCAGCACTGAAAAGGCACTTAGGTAGTACCTGTGGCAATATACGATATAACTGGTTTAATCCCCTCGAGGAAAGAAGCTCTGATCTGAAGTCCAACGTTGAAGTTTTCATTGACCGATGTTCAGGTTCAATAGAAGGCTTTGTCTGATATGAGAGTTTATCACCATTATTTGAAACACGTTTTAAAATGAAGTAAAACACCTCATGTCTACACACACACACACTAGCTCCGTAACAAACCTAGATGTCAATGATGATGTATACTACATATTGTCATTTTTGTTCTTAAATCATCTCTTTCCTCTTTACCTGGCTCTGTTCGGATATTTCATACAATCCTATGCGGAAAGAGCTGGTTAATTTGTCTGACGAAAGTAAAGATGACTGTTATTCACGTATTGAGTTATCGGTTCTACTGCAGGACTGACACGGACTGCGAGAAACGTTTAAAACACGAGTCTCCGTTTACTGAGTGATCAATCTCATTGTCGTCGGTTCAGCGGACCTATTTTTCAAAATTGAGAACCATATGGCTAAGTAAATTACTGCGAATTAACGTGACCCACATTTCACTACTCAGCACGATTACCCCCCTATAGCCGTGGCTATGGCTTTCAGTGTGATTTAATTTACTCGCTGCGAGCTTTCTTGCATGTGACAACCGTATGGCATATGGTGGGGGTACTGTAGCTGGCCCCACTCCTTAGTCAATACAAAGGAATGGTGTACGAAAAGTTGTCTTTACATTATGTAGATATGAAATGATTCATAGATCGATTAATTGAACGATTGATTTTTGGTTGACTGGCTTTGATTGCCTGATTGTTCGACTTAGTAATTGATTGGTTGATTGGTTGGTTGGTTGATGAATCGTTCGATATGTCAGTACATCGGGCTTTTGGGTCACAACTCCATCATGCATGTGAGCAATTTGCAGACTTCCTCCATCCTGGAGATGCTGAAACAGTCTCCATCCACACAGTGAGAGTTGTTCCTACTTCCTAACGATCAGTTGTTGCTACGACAGTAAAACAGCCAAATTACAGTTAATTCAAGTTCAACGTATTACGAGCGAGCGATCTGTTTGTTTACATCATCACATGCAAATTACTGGTAGGCAAATCAACCAACCGTTAGACACTTTTTGCCTACCGTTCGCCGGCTGTGACGTCATCGCGATCGCTCGTGATGTTCTGAGTATCAAGTATCAAGTTTTATATTGTATTGACAAACTGGAAGCAGAGCGGTTGTCGAGATAGAAGTTCGTGACAAACCCCACACCATGACCATTCTTACTCCCCCGTCCCGAAGCTCTAGATGTCCCGCACCGACAACAGACCATTAATGCGTGACAGAGGACTCATTATCTCATACTAATGTACAGTAATCCCTCCACTGGCCGTCAGAACGTCACTCTATTCACAGAGCGACAGATATCCATCACGCTCATGCCCTTCAAACGCAGGTCAGCTTGTCCTGTCCACATGGGCAACGCCCAGCAAGTGCTCCAGGATAGTAAAATAATATTAATACTAATAAAAAATACAGCATCGATCTCTGATGAGGCAAGACACATATCACAGCTACCTGGCGCGAAGGTATTACACTGTCTGGGCCGAGATCATAAATAAGACGTTCGAAATGCCACCCCAGCGGTGATACAAGGGGACCAGGTGTTCTTTATGAGCCTGGATACTTTGGTATGGACAATGCCGCTCACTCAGTAATCTTGAATGAAGCTGCCCATTTATTTTGGAAGACGCATCATAGTATACAAGTGAGTGTTCCACATAGATCTGCCGATGTGACGTATTGACTGAGAAGAGGGTTTGCTGAAATGATAGCAGGCATGTCGGTAATATGATTTATTCGGAATCAATTTCTATTGAGTGGACAGCGGACGGTTCGGAGAATAAATGATGATATTCTATCTCTTGTTCTCCTCGGACAGTGCCTGAACAGTAAACGAGGGCATTAACTTCATCGTGGAGATAAAATACTTTATAGGCATGAAGAAGGACGTTCCTGTTGCAATGAGCACTGAAGCCACAGAACGATCACGTCCTCCTCGGGGACATACCAAGATTGAGGCGTTGTCGAGGCCTGTGTGATTTGTCTTGCATCATAATCGTTCACCGCAAATCATGAAAGGTTTTCAGTCTAGATGAGAAAGATCTCAACAATCATTCATTTTGCATGGAAAACGATGTTCGCATCCTCCCAGTAGAAATGTCCTATGACGACACGCAAAGAGCCCCGTGTGTGAGCGACCCTAGTCAGGGTTTGTTGTTAATTAGTGGAGTACGTTATTAGGGACAGACGTAGCGCTTGGTTTCTTGAACTTAAGTACCAAGGACACGATAAACAATAAGCATGTACGGGTAAGTCATTTCTCGATATTAGACAGCTGTCTCCTTTCCCACAGCAGAAGAAGACACTTTTATTTATTCATTTTATTTATTTCATCTTATAAACACATGAGTAGCCAGTAAAATTGTTGACTTCCAAAATAGCCCAGGGACACATAAACAATATAACATAACATAAACACAACATAAAGCAATTTGTATAAAAGTAAATTATACAATCAAGTAACATAACTGAGAAAAGTTAACAGAGATCAGAATAACTGAAAATCAGTATGAGTGAAAAATTATAACGATAAACTATATAACATATATTATGCCAAAAAACAGTTACTCAAGCAACTGGATATGATTTTGAAAACGTCAGACGTTTCAGCTAGTATCCACTAGCTTTCGTCAGTGACTGAGAGACCAGAGGGGAAAGCAGGTTTATATACACAACCTGTTGATTGATATGCAAATAAAGTGAAGACAAATTTTTGGAAGTCGAAAAAGGAACAAAAGTCAGACAAGTCAAGACAAGATGATGCAAATTAGTCTGAAAGCTCCTGTTATACAGGACAGGAGCTTAAGTGTTGTCTGTCCTCGGGGCTGGGAGTGCCAAATCCCAAATCATATCCAGTTGCTTGAGTAACTGTTTTTTGGCATATCGTATTACCTGGATGTCTAACCTTCATCGACGTATATAACATATATTGTCTTGTTTTTTTTTCTCATAATTCTGGGTACTGCAATTTTTCTTAAGTTGGGGTGGATGGTGAAACCATAGCGTAAGCCCAAATAAGACACACCAAAGACAGATTTGGTCGTGCCACCATATCCATGCCCACCTAGTCTTGATTCAAATCACCTAGCCAGATTCAAATCTCAAACTGTTGTAGCAGGGAGCCATTTTGGTACAAATGTTCTTGACCGAGACAGAGGTCTATTAATATTCATACGAGATCATTGGGAGTTACGTTATCGTATTCTGTATAAAACAATTTATGTTGTTGTATTTTGATACCATTGGTATATTTCCACAAGTGCAAAGTATCGTCATGCTGGTACATTCCTTCATTTTTCCAATAGCAAGATGAGAATTCCTTTGCCGTCACATTGCACGGCGCTTCGGCCCAATACCTTTCCATATCTCACCTATCTTAAAACGTGCCGCTTTCATGTAAAATTTATCAGTTAGACGACACATCTTCATTATCAGCAAAGCCGTAGTCACTGGAAATGCAGCTGGGTGTTAGCAATCATGCGTACGGTATAGGATGCTGTTCGGTGGATTTTTTATTTTTATTTTTTTATTCCAACATGTAATCACCAGACGTGGTGACGACACACTCAAGTTTCTTCAACTTATATTAATGCCGCCACCAACACAGGGGACAAATACATGACAGGACATAGTGAGGAAAGCCGTGTAAAGTGCCTTTCCCAAGGGCACAAGATCGGTGGCATGTCAGGACTCGAACCCGGGACTCTTAGTTCCGAGTCGCGCACTCTGCCGCGACGCCACACGACCCCACTGATTGAGTGATTCGGTGGATTGAGCTCGTGGTGTGTCCTCACTTCAGACTTTTAGACAAAGGATAATTCATAGATCGATTTTTCTTTGACCTGTTATTATCAAAGTCCAGGCAAAGCGAAAATAGGACATAGTGTCTAACAGTCTTGTTATGAGGTCACTAGCTAAGCTGTTTTGTTTTACCATCAATAGGCCGTTCGTTGACCAATTTACTGGTGATTTAATGCACAGCCTGACAGCCGGCAACAGTCAGTGAGCTCCACTGGTGGTGAAGCTATAATCAGATTATGTACTTTCTTGGCTGCAAAGATCACAAAAGTTGCAATGAGCAACAATGTATAGTAAAAGTAATTGTTTTTACGGTTGCACATCCGCTTGAAACCTAGTACCAAATAATAAATCATGATGCGTGTGCAGAGAAACTTGCGGCAACGTTTTTTCATGGTTGCCATGGTGAAAAAGCACAAATTTATCAACCTTTCCCTTTGCGAGTGTATCTGTATCTGTATCTGTATCGATATAGCCGGCATAACCGCATTTCGGCGTAACACACCAGCTCCGCAGGCCCGCGGCAGCTAGCTATATCACATCGAACGACTTGTTACACTCAATCTTTGCACATTCAATTGCAGGAGTTGTTTTCTAGTGATTATGCCCCAACTGTGCTTTGTGTCAACGACTTCCACTCTACGATGGTTCTTGGGAAATACGAGTTTTTGAACACCTCAATTCTTGGTTGATAACCCTGATATCTGAAGACATGACTGTTCTTTTCTGAGAGTGGCACACATCAAGCCTTAGCGCACGCTTTTGGTGTTTTGGTGTTCCGCCATAACGTTACAACAAACACAACGTTAGGCACTCAATTAAGTACCATTTGCCTTTGCCCTGCCCCTGCATGACGGATAGCCCCTTTTCCCACTGACTGCTCTGCAGATGATACCAGGCGGTTGGCTGAGATCCTAGATTAACGCTTGCCAAAGTTGACACCTTGGCTGTCGCACGTGGGGAACTGACCCGGCCCCTCCTGCTGCGATATATGATGGATGTCCCGCTGCACGATCCATCTACGTGTCAGATCTTCATATTGGCGTTAGGGGATTTCCTTTGTAAGAACGTGTGGATGGAAATCTGAAAGTACCCAGGGGGCTGGAGGAGAAACATATTTTTGTATACTTCTTAGCTAACAGTTGTGTAGAAGCGCTTTCTTAAGACAAGAGTGAACAAGATGTAAGGCATACATGAGTAAATGAATATTCTAACAATTACAAGGAATGCTTTCAGATATGGACTCGGTGTTATTTCCGGCACCTTAATTGTCTAAGTTTGAAAGCCACATGACCTCTTATACGTTAATTCTGCTCTCTAGCTAGATTTACTGCCGCTAAATTGAATCTGGAGAACAGGGTGATCGGAATAAGAATATATCATAGCACGGATTGCGATGTTTCACACGGGAAATTAAAGACCAGTTCTGGATGGCCAAAAATGTAATTTCATCTCCGAAACATTTTCTTCATGAATAAAAAGCGAAGTAAAAACGCTCCAATTGCTTTATCTCGAACAGCGGAAATGGGGGAAGAAATATAGGTTAATTTGACTCTGAACCTCCTGGTATCCAAAGGGTATCTGGAATCGAAGTGAGCCGAGCAGCAGGATCAGTTCTGACACTTCCATCTACGTACAACACCAGGAGGTAACATTGACCCGCATATCCTGACATAGGAGCAAATGTATGTGGTCCGTGTTCGTGGTCCATTTAACTTTAGGATCAATATGTCAACGAGCATCATGTATCTGTCATCAGACATCATCCATATGATGGGGCATTTCAGATAGCGGACACATCAAAAATTGCTAGCTAGTGGGCTGCATTTAATCCTGTTGCATCAATTGATAGAAGACTGGTAGTCGTGAGAGGGAAAGCGACAGACGGGGACACAAGATTGTATCTGATATTATATTATGTTAAGCCGCAATTTATTGCAAGATTGATAGCACCGCAAGTATGTGTATTGATGGCATCCGGATGCTCATTCCTGGTACATGGTATGAATAAATGATGCAGGTGATCTGCACCACGCCCTGGCTTTTCTCCGTGGGACATCTAGAGGTCTCCTCCGGCAGCGCCTGGTACTGATGCACACTTGCAGGGACAGGGAGATGGGGGGGGGGCATTCGGACTGAACCGTTAATAATGAATATAGTCACATTCGATGATGTCTCCCCTCTCTCTGGATGGTCTTTTTGGCAGGATTGTTCGTGTCAAGAAGGACGGAAAAGCAGACGCTGGCTGGATTGAAAGCTCCCCCCCCCACACACACACAACCTCGCAAGATCTCCCCAAGTTTTCACCGATACCAGAATAAGCGGAAGATCGATTTCCCGCCATGATTAGTCACCTGGCCTGTCAGACTTGTTGCAGTTTTAACGAGGAAAGCGGAACATGATCTGATCGATAAACCCAGCAAATTGCAACACGTCAGCCTCCGTAGATGCTGCCGACCTGATCTGTGCAGTCACATCCAACAAGCGTGCCCCCACAAGCACACAAGGGTCAAAATATGTATGCAAGAACAGAATAGATCAAATATATTATCACCCGTAGCAATTCTATAATCTAGGTATAGGTGTTGCTCACGATACGCTTGAAGTTTCTTAGGTCGGTTTAATATGAGGCGCTGGCCAGGATTACCTTTCCAACAGAATACCGAAGTTTACAATTACACGTTTCTTTAGACGTGGAATAGGTCATCATGCACGAATCTTTAAAGGTATTCAAGAAGAACATTCAATCAAAAATGATACAGGCAACGTGAATCGCAATAAATAACTTGGTCATATTCCAGCCAGTACATTTGCGTCTCTGTCTTGGTTCCACTGACATACACGGACATTAGAAACACCTGCCATTTTAAAGTTAGGTAGTGTGGTCGTGTGACTGTCTCTGCTCTCTCAGGTCTTTTCCAAGAATCATTAACAGCGTTGTGTTTCTAGGAAAGGCAGTCTGAGGCTTGATACCCGCCTATCGAGCGGGTACGTCAGTGCAACACACCGTGAATGTAAAATGAAGTTTCTGACGCCTTTCCTCGCTGCTGGCGTCTGTTTACAGATAGTCTGCCTCATAAAGATGATGTGATCCCGCTCTTGGGTGCAATAAAGTTTGATCCATCAACCACTTATCATCATTAAAAGGCGGCATTGTGCTGCTGAGATTCTGACAGCTCTATTGATACAAATTGTGGAGGCAAAGCGCCTCATGGCGAGTTCAGCTTGCATGTGATGCTTGAAGTCTGTTATTCTTGTTGCAGTACAGTAGCATTTCACAAGGTGGGCATGTAGACAGGCACCTGGCCTGGCAGGTAATGGTGATAACGGAAAAAGTTATCACCATGCTTCTTACAACGCCAGAGGCGCAGCTGGCAACACTAGGGATTGTGATAAAAGGAACTAAAAGTAAAACGCTGGCAACAGGGAAAGGTAAGTCTGTCATAAACATATTTGTCTTCGTCAGAAGGACTATGAAATTGTCTCGCCGGAGTGTGGGGAACTGCGGATTTTGCGATATAACTATGGAAGGCATGATTCGACGTCCATGATTTTTGGCAGGCAGATTACCGCTGTTAAGGCCGAAGTCAAGTACAAGTTTTGGCTTCGTGGGGGTCCGTGCGTCACGTTAGTGCACCTTTTGTGTTTGTGGCTTGTTAGCAAGATAACTCAAGTATTTGTAAAATAGTTGATTATAATTCTTGGTGTGGTGCTTACTATTGTCGGGACCAAGGTTAAGTTCGTTACTGAGCTTCGTGGGGGGTTTCGGTTGTGACTACAGGGGGCATTTTGTTAATTTTTCTTGTGAGCAGGATAACTTTTGTATGTGTGGATGGAAGTTAATGAAATTTGATAGGCATATTACTGTCGTGGTCTCCAAG